GAAGGAAGGAAGGAAGGAAGGAAGGAAGGAAGGAAGGAAGGAAGGAAAAGGAAAGGAGAAAGAAGGAAAGAAACTCGAATTCTGGAAAGCATCTAGGCCACAAAGACCCCCAGGTGAACCGGGTGACTTTCCTGCCTCCCTCCAGGCTTCTTGGTTTCTCTCTGCCTAAACACAGCTCCACTAATAATAAAGGCTCCCTCTGGAGGCTCCCAACCCAAAATCCTCTGCCCACCACAGGGCACCCTGCACCTCCTTCCTTCCTCCCCTCCTGACTTTGATGGTCAGGGCCTTTTCTCTTCTGCAGGACAGGCCTGTTGCTCACCTGCTCCCTCTGCCCTCCATGCTCACAACCCTCAGACTATCTCCCTACCCTGGGAGCCCCCCCCTTCTAACCTGCCTCACATTCTCCTTCTCTGGGCACTCTCCATCTGAGTCTCCCCAAACCCCTTTCTTAGTACCTTCCTCCACCAGCATGCTCTCCACTGTATCTACTCTGCTTTAGCTCCTTGCATTTACACCTCTGTCTGCGTCCTGGGGGCATGTCCCACCTCCCTGCTTGGGCAGGGGGAGCTTGCTGGCTTTTCTTTTTGCTAAACACTCTTCCCTCCTCCACACCTCCCCCTTGCCTCCACCTCTGCATGCACAGAATGGGTCTCTGCACTTTGAGGGCCACAGAGGGCAGGAAGGCAGTGACAGACCAGGAGGGGAGCCCCCTGAGGGCCAGGCCGGTCCTGATCCCCACTCTGATTTCTGAAAAAGAGCTTATTGGCTGCTTTTCAACTCAAGGCAGATGATTAATTCAGCCCTAACCCGACCTTGTTCTGTCTTTGAACAACAAATTAGTTTACTTGCAAATCAATCTTTTCATTTGTATTTCCATGTCACCTGGGACCCTCCCCCCCCCCCCCCCCCCCCCCCCCCCCCCCCCCCCCCCCCCCCCCCCCCCCCCACCCCGCCTCCACCTTCCATTGGCAGCCCTGCCAGCTGGTGGCAAGAAGGTCAGCAAAGCCGCTGTTAAAGGGAAGGTAAAGAGGGCTCGGTTCATGGCAAGGGGGCAGTGATCCACTCAGCCAGCAACATGCTCCGCTTCCTGGTGTTCACCACCCCGGTCCTTTATGGTAAGTGGGTCATCTGGTCTGAGTTCTAGAAGGAGGAGGATTTGAACAGGAGGGTCAAAAGCAATCCTTAAATCCGGGCCTGTTCTGTATGCCAGGGTGGGATGGAACACTCTGACTGTGAGTCTAGCAAAAACTTTACCCTCCTGGAGCCCGTGAGAGGAACAGTCAGGGCCACTCTCCATCCAGAACCCTCTGGTTGGCTGGACCTTGAACCATGAAGCAGAGATGCCCCTTTCCAGGGCCTGGGCTTTCTCACCACTCCCACTGACAGGAAGACACCCTCGGCAGGTGCCTGACTGGGATGTGCACTGCTGTGCTTGCCCCATGGAGAATCCTGCCAAAGCACTGTATGTGTGGGTAGAGGTGGGAGGTCACCTCAGGCCATGGGATGACCCCCTAGCAAGGCTGAGGCCACAGGGAGCCTCTGGAGCCCTAGCCTAGGGATGTGAGATGCGTCCTTCACAACATGCCAGAGCTCTGAGGACACCTGCGGGAAGCAGAAGCCATTCAAACTCCTCTATTTTCAAAAGGGGCTCCCATAACTCTCAGCAGGGCCCCTCATTTGCTAGGGAGGAACTGAATTCGCAGACAAAGCAATCCGCCTCCCTGCTCCCCACCCTGAGCTGACCCCATGCTTAGTCATCACTCACTCTTCTTCTGCCCCACAAAGGACACAGCACCCAGGACTTTCCAGAAACCAATGCCCGGGTAGTTGGAGGGACTGAGGCCCGGAGGGATTTCTGGCCCTCTCAGGTGGGTGCTCCTTCACAGCCCCAGACTTCTAACAAAACAAGAGTTGCCTGCTTGCTGGTATATGGTTTTGTGTGTGTTTGTGTACGTGGCTATCAACAAGAAGCTCTCTGGCTGTCTGGATTCTAGATTTTTTTTTTTTTAAGATTTTATTTATTCATTTGACAGAGAGAGACACAGCGAGAGAGGGAACACAAGCAGGGGGAGTGGGAGAGGGAGAAGCAGGCTTCCCGCTGAGCAGGGACCCTGATGCGGGGCTCGATCCCGGGACCCTGGGATCATGACCCAAGCCGAAGGCAGACGCTTAACAACTGAGCCACCCAGGCGCCCCTGGATTCTAGATTTAAGAGATGAATGGGACCAGGCTTAGGTGGAAAAGGCATGTAAAAGTTTTGGAGGAGGGGATTTGAACCCCAAGCCCACTCACTTTCCCAGGCTCACACCCAAACACAAAGCACATGTATGTCCCCAGAGATACTCCCCGTGCCGCACTAGCAAGACTGTCCAAGACCCGCACCTCAGACCCCTCATACACACACACACCCATGCACGCACATGCACACCCCACTCCACACCGTGTGCCTCTGCATTCAGGCACACCCCCACCCCCAAGGAGAGCAGGTTGCTTATTTGGCTATTTAGAGTTTCTACTTTTCTAACAGGGCAGCCAGGCTTTGAGTTAAGCAATTCTAAATGCATAAAACTGGCAAATCAACTGGGGACTGACCACTTTCAGAGGAATCATGGCAGTTAGAATGAAATTCAGTTCACAAAAGTTTGCAGCCCAGTTTTCAGAAGTAGAGCTGCTGTGGAATAGGAGGTGCTGAAGACGACAGGAGCTGATAAAAATGAGAATTCCAGCGGTCGTTCTGAGTATTCCCTAGGGGAGGGGGATAGAGTATGTCTTGGAGACCTTGGAGGGGGAGCTCTGGAGACCCGAGCCAGTGGGCTCAGGTGATGGAGAAATTCCATGGCCACATTTCCTACCAAGAGGCAATGGAAGTAACAGGACCTGGGTTCTTGGCCCTTTGCAACAACCCAGAGTAGGGATATCAAATACACTGTCTGTGCACCTTTCCTCCCCCCATCTATGGACGGAACAAGCATCACCCATGGGCCCAGCAAGCATCACCCAACAACGGAGCCCTCTTTCCTGCTGATCCCAGTGCCATCTGCACACCCCTTCTTACCACCACTCCAGGGAGCCACCAACAACCGATCAGCAGCAATCAACAGGTCCCATGAAGCCCCTCAGCCGTCTCTAGCCCACAGAGTTGGAGAAGGTTTTGAAGGATGGCAGGAATTGAAGGAAGTGTAACAGGTAGTTTGGGGCAAAGCCTCTTAAGAAACACCGGCCTCTCCCTCTTTTCTCCCCTCGCCTTCTAGATTTCCCTCCAGTACCTGTCTGGGGGCAAATGGTATCACACCTGTGGAGGGACCCTCATCAAACAGAACTGGGTGATGACAGCTGCTCACTGCATGGACACGTGAGAAAAACAAAACCCAGCTTTGCTGAGCCCCTGGAAGGGGAGAAATCTGGCCTTTCTCAAGGAATACGTATCTCTGAGCACTCGGGGCAAGACTTTAAGGGAGTGTTGGGGGTCCTGCAGGGAGGTAGCAGGATATATGAAAAGTAGAGATTTGGGCATCAGGCAAGCTTTGGTTCAGATCCCAGTCCACCTCCTTCTACCTTTGTGACCTTGGATGGCTTACTTAGCTTCTCTAATCTCTCATTCTCTTATTTCTAACATGGGGGTAATAATACCTACTTCGGATTAAGTAGGTGACTATCTCAGTGCCTGGTCAATGCCTGGCTGGTAACCATTTTTTTCATATTTGTCTTGAGCCATTGTTCTCAAATCTGAGCATGAATCAGAATCACCTGGAAGGCACAGATTGCTGGGTCCTGCCCAGCAGAGCTTCTGACTTGGTAGGTTCAGGTTGAGCCTGATAATCTGCATTTCTAACAAGTTTCCAGGTTATGCTGCTGCTGCTGTTCCAGGGATCGTGTTTTAAGAACTATTGGTGTATAACCTCCCCCAGACCCCTCTGTGGGCTGAGAGCTGTTGTATCATTTGTGTTCATCACACCCCTCCCAGGTTATGATATATCCAATCTATGATGCTTAACCTCATAAACTGGGCAATGAAGTTGATGGTAGTTTTTGTCACTCCCCCAGATTAGTAAATTAGAGAAGGAGAGAGCTTGTTACTTCCTCATCTTCCAGGGTCTTTCGTCCACCCTCTGCCTGGGTCAGATAAAATGGCTGCCTGTCCTAAATAGGACGTGAGATGGTTTCCCAGCTTTTCTCTGAGGGGAAAGAGCCCCCTGGATCCCTCAGGGTTTCCTTCTCCTCTGTCCCTCCAGACAAATGACCTTCCGTGTGGTGGTTGAACACAACCTGAACCAGAATGATGGCACCAAGCAGTCTATGAGTGTGCAGAAGATCGTGCATCCATCCTGGAACAGCAATAACGTGGCTGTCGGGTAGGGGCACGGCTGGGCTGGTCTTGAGCTGGGAGGTCGAGGGCTGACTGGCCAGCAACAGGGTCTTGGCATCCCTCACATTCATTCAGAAGGACTCTGAGAATTTGGATTTTGGAAGGCTTGGGATTTTTGAAGGTCTTTGGGATTTCTTTGATCTAGGCTGGTCTGCATGTTAAACCTAGCCTACCATCCAACTGTGTCAAGTTTGAGCCCAGCAAGTCAGTCCCCTCCTCCTTCAAAGTCGTTAGTTGCTTTTTTTTAAATAATTTTTCTTCTTTTTTTTTTTCCTTTAAAGATTGACTTATTTATTTTAGAGAGAGAGAGACTGCGTGCATAGAGGGAAGGAGAGGGAGAGAAAGTCTCAAGTAGACTGTCCACTGAACGCAGATTCTGATATGGGGCTCAATCCCACAACTCTGAGATCATGACCTGAGCCAAAATCAAGAGTCGGGTGCTTAACCAACTGAGCCACCCAGGAGCCCCTAAAGTTGTTAGTTTCTTTTTTTTTTTTAATTAATTAATTAATTTATTTATTTATTTATTTAAGAGAGAGAGCACTAGAGAAAGAGAGCAAGCACAAATGGGGGGCAGAGGAGCCTGATGCAGGACTTGATCCGATCATGACCTAAGCCAAAGGCAGACACTTAACCGACGGAGCCCCCCAGGCGCCCCTAAAGCTGTTAGTTTCTAATTCTCTGGGGACACAATGGCTTAGTGAGGGCCAGTCCCTTTGCTGACCTGAAGGAAGGCCTGAGCTGGCTCCTTTCCTCCCACAGCTATGACATTGCCCTGTTGCGCCTGGCCCAGAAAGTGACCCTCAACAGCTATGTCCAGCTGGGTGTTCTGCCACAGGAGGGAACCATCCTGGCCAACAACAGCCCCTGCTACATCACAGGCTGGGGCAGGACCAAGAGTAAGTCACCTACATGGGCACCATCCGCCACATGGATCTTGAGTAGGTAGCGGGGCTTCTGGGGCACATTTTTCTGTGGTCCTAGATGTTCATAGCCAGAATCAAGGAACCAGAGATAAGATAACTGGTGCCTGAAATCAAGCTAAGAACAGGCCATGTAATAGTCAAGTCACACAGACTCACAACTAAAAAAACAAAAACAAAAAACCTCAGAGAATATTTTGTACCCACCTCTCATTTAATTTTATTTTATTTTAAAAGATTTATTTATTTATTTGAGAGAGAGAGAGAGCATGCAAGTGAGTGTGGTGGGGAAGCACAGAGGGAGCGGGAAAGAGTCTCAAGCAGATTCCCCACTGAGCACGGAGCCCCCATGCGACTTGATCTCAGGACCCTGAGATCACAACCTGAGTGGAAATCAAGAGTCTGATGCTTAACCGACTGAGCCACCCAGGCGCCCCCACCTCTCATTTTATACATGAGGAAACTAAGGCCCAACAAAAGTAAAGACCGTGTGTAAGATCACATGACTAGTTAGTAACTAGTTAGCTGGGACCAGGACCCAGGTATCCTGGCTCCCACTTTGGTGGACATCACACCATCACACTACCTCCATAGAGGTAGCTCTCGTGAAATGAAAATAAGGGTGTATGGTCCCAGTTCTGCTTCGTACGGTTTGCAGTGTAAGGTGAAACAGGAGAGTCCTCAACAAATAAGACCATTTTAGTTGCTTTAATTTTTCTTTTCTTTTCTTCGCAGGAGTAGGAGAGGGGCACCTGGGTGGCTCCGTCGTTAAGCGTCTGCCTCTGGTTCAGGTCATGATCCCGGGGTCCTGGGATGGAGCGCCGTATCCAGCTCCTTGCTCAGAAGGGAGCCTGCTTCTCCCTCTCCCACTCCCCCTGCTTGGGTTCTGCTATCTCTCTGTCAAATAAATAAATAGAATCTTTAAAAAAAAAAAAAAAAAGCAGGAGTAGGAGATTGGAGGTTGGTGGTTTGGAGCTTGGAAATAGTGACGGAGGATGACCCCTGAAGGAAGGGGCCTGTAGCCTCCATATAATGAGGGGAAGGGGGAGGATCTATGGCACACAATGTGCTTGCCCTGAGTTGGCTTTCATCAGAGCCTGGGAAGGTTGGGCAGGGTGTGGAAGAGTTCTCCCCCCGGAGAGCACCTGGGGCTGACCTCCAACTCTGTTTTTCCTGTTCACCCAATGGGCAGCAGGTGCATAGCCTGCAGCAGGCCTACCTGCCCTCTGTGGACTACGTCACCTGCTCCAGCTCCTCTTTCTGGGGCCCCACCATGAAGAGAACCATGGTGTGCGCTGGAGGAGACCGGGTTCGCTCAGGATGCCAGGTGAACACACGCAGGAAGTGTCAGAAATCCCACACTAGGCCCCTCCCCTCTCTGCCCCCCCATCCCCCACCTTCTCCTCACTTCCTTTCCACACCAACTCCCACCCCCACGTACAGACCTGACTTGCTACTCTGGCGTCCCAGTGAGAATGAGTCTGTGCCGGGAACTCTAGACTCACAGAATCTCAAACTTGAAAGGAACCCTAAAATTCATCATGCCCAGGGCCCTGACCTCAAAAGCTGGTATGTGACCCAACATTTGTGTATCGGTGTGTGTGTGTGGTCCTTAGAAGCTGTTAGCCAGCTAGACTTTTTTTTTTTTTAAGATTTTATTTATTTATTTGACACAGAGAGAGTGAGAGAGAGAGAGAGAGCATAAGCAGGGGGAGTGGCAGGCCGAGGGAGAAGCAGGCTCCCTGCTGAGCAAGGAGCCCGATGCCGGACTCGATCCCAGGACCCTGGGATCATGATCTGGGCCGAAGGCAGCCGCTTAACCGACTGAGCCCCCCAGGCGCCCCAGCCAGCTAGACTTTTTACAGCCCAGAGTGGTGGTTGTTAATTGTGTACGAGGAAGCTCTCTTCCCATCAACCCCCACTTTTCTTGTAACTCCTCCACCACCACCCCTTTACCTCAGTAGTATTTCCAGGAGTATAGACAGGTGAATACAGCAAGAGAAAGCACACAAAATAGTGTTATAGTCATTTATATATATATAAATAGAGTCTTCTTCTATTTAGACAGGATCAGTCATCAGTATACCATCTTACAGAGATCTTAATGCAGTTCGACAAATGTTCTTGATTACCTATTAAATGCCAGGCACTGTGCTAAGTTTTAGGGATACAAAGATGACTCAAACCGAGGGTTTAGTGGAGGAAGGGCAGGAGCAGATGTGTGAAAGAACATTGTAATACAACGTGGGTAAGTGTTATAATAAAAATATGCAGCAGGCAATATAGGAGCCTAAAAGATAGGCACTTACCTGTACCTGTTGGGGTCAAAAAAGACTTGCCTTCCCCAAGAAAGCGGAGTCTATAAGCAAGTCCTGATGCTTACATAGGAGAAAGCCAGGCAAAAGGGGAAAAGCTATTCAGAGAGAATGACATGAATGAGGGCATGGGCCAAGAAACCCTCTAGAACACGTAGAGAATTACAGGGTGTTCCCTACAGCTAGAGCAGAGGTCAGAGCCCACAAACTTCCAAATCCTGCCTGCTGTCTATTTCTCTATAGTCTATGAGCTAAGAATGGTTTTTACATTTTTATTTTTTTAAGATTTGTTTATTTATTTTGAAAGAGAGAGCATAAGCGGGAGGGGCAGAGGGAGAAGGAGAGAGAATCTCAAGCAGACTCTGCGCTCAGTGAGGAGCCTGATGTGGAGCTCAGTCTCACCACCCTGAGATCACAACCTGAGCCAAAACCAAGAGTTGGCTGCTTAACCAACTGTGCCACCCAGGCGCCCTGGTTTTTACATTTTTAAATGGTTGAGAATAAATTTTAAAAAGAATAATTTCGTGACACATGAAAAATATAAAATTCCAATGTTCATAAAAAAGCATTTAATTGGAATAAATACAGCCATACTTGTTTACTTGCATATTGTTTATGGCTACTTTCATAGAGTTGAATAGTTGTGACAGAGACTCTATAGCCTGCAAAATCTAAAATATTTACTATTTGGCCCTTTATAGAAAAAGTGTGCTGACCCCTGAGCTAGAACAGAAACTATTACCATACAGGGAATGTCAAGAAATGATGCTAGAGGCAAGTAGGAGCCTCTTGACTTAGGGCTTCAAGTGTCATGTGCAGGGGAAGAAAATTTTTCCCTTCTTCCCTTCTAGGTTCTTTGGCTCATCTGATAATTAAATTGGTGTAAGACAGATTAACAGGAGAAAAACAGATTTAATTTGTTTTTTTATGTGGAGAAGCTCATAAAAATATGAGACTCAAAGACAAAAACCTTTTAGGCAAAGAAATAATAAATTTGTGAAGAATTGACGGGACAAAGACGTTTGGGCTTAGGGTAAATGAGTGAAGAAGCAACAGGGTGAAGTTAACAGCGTTTGTTATACAGTCCTAAATTCCCTATCTCTAATGATAAAGATGTCTCCTTACCTCCTGGTGCAGGGAGAATACCTTTCACATGGGCAATTATTTTCTGCTTTCAAAGGAACAAAGTAGGGTTAGAATGTCCTTACACTGTCTGTTCTTAAGTAACTTTTAATTCAGAATAATCAATATCCCAAAGTGGTACATCTGGGGGCAGCAGCCTGTCATGAACCTCCATCATATGCTTAGGGACATGAACTTTATCTCTTAGGCCTGGGAAACCACTGAAGGGTTATGAAGAGGAGACTAGCATGATCAGATTTGCCTTTTAGAGGCATTGTCTGATGACAAGGCAGGCATGTCTTTGAAGAGGGTAAGGTTGGCCAAAAGACAGGTTAAGAGACTATTGTAATTATCTAGGCGATAGATTTGAGGGCTTGGACTAGGGCAGCGGAGAGGAGAGAGAAAGAGGAGGACCTGGAATGACTTTTAGGCATCTGGTTTAAGTGATCTGGGAGGGGTTTGCTGCCTCCAATGAGAGAAGGTTTATAGGACTTGGGAGAGAAGGTGATGAATTTGGTTCTGAACAAGTTGAGTCTGAAATCCCAGTAGGACATTCAAGTATAGTTAACCAGTAAGTAATTAGATACAGGAAGTAGAACTTAGGGGGAGAGCCAGACTAGAGATACAGCAGGTGAGATCCACCCCCCAACCCCCCACCCGCCCCCATCCCACGGGGGAGAAGTTGTAGAATGAGAAAAGAACAGTGAGTTGAGGAAAGAACTGTGATAACATGAATACTTGAGTGCTTCAGGGACTCAAGGTGGGGGACAGAGAACCCATAAGACTTAAAAAGGGATTAGAGATCATAAGGGTTTTCCAGAATCCCAGGAAATACCGATGTGTCTTACACAGTATACAGAACATCCCGGAGCCACAGTAGATAACCGGAAGGGCCTACTTGGGCCGTTGGTGGATCACCGGTAACTGTGGCAAGAACAGTGTCAGGAGGGGAGAGAAGCTTTATTGAAGGTAAGAAATGAAGAGACAATGAGAAGCATAGTAAGGAATGGAGAATCCCCTTCCAAGAATCTTGGATGAAAGAAAGGGACCAATCTTGGCATCCAAGGCATCCAATCTTGGATGAAAACAAGTCTGGTAGCTTTGAGGAGGACCACAGGTCACGGAGGGGGTGGATATAGTAGGGGACCACTGAGTGTGTTAATAGGCAGAGAAGAAAGGATCTTGCACGGTCAGAGAGAGAAAGGAGTGGATGGCACAAGATCCCAGAGGAGGAGAGGTGAACCCAAGGGCACAGGTGGAGCTGGAACAGGAGGGGAGACAGCAAAATACCAAAATGTGCATGGATCTGAAAGAGTGTGCAGGCTGGGTGGCTGGAGGATGGCAGGTGTTCTGCATTAATTTTCTATTTACTTATAAACTAGGAGTCAGTTTGAATGCTGAGAACGAAGGAACAAGGGTTGTATGGGTCTGGATTATTTAAAGTGAGTGGGACAATGATCGGCCTCCAAGATGTTCCTGATAGGGTGAGGTTGGAGACCACGCAATGACTGAGTATATGATTCACTCCGTTTGACTCGAGACCCGGTTGCAGGGAATGGGTTAATCCAGGCCTGGGTTTTCCTGCCTTGACTGGAGCCAAAGCACAAGAGTGCAGACCAACAGCAAGGTCTGCGCTGAGTGGAAGAAGAGAAGCCAGCAGGAGGCCGGGAGGCTGGCTGAAATAGTAGAATCAAATGATCAAGGACTCCTGGTGAGCACTTAGAACCACGGAAGCAAGGCGACCAACTCCTCCCAGTTTGTCCAGTTTCCTGCATCCTGGGAGCCCTACACGCAAGTAGAACCTGATACCCAAGGCAGTCTCTGCCAGGTCCCCACCCGCTAGCTTCCCCCTTTTACCCTAAGGTTTAACCTTTCTGAATTAATTCACTTTCCCTCTGCTCCCTCAGGGTCTTGAACTCTGAAAAAGCAGAGTACTTTTCTTCTGGCAGTGGCTCCAAACTGACAATTCTCTGAGGCAGTTGTGTCTCCAAAGCCTTTCCCCCTGCAGTTTCCCAAGACTGTGTCTTCTGGGTGTTCGGACTGCTGGGCCCCAACCCTTCACCTCAGACTGGATTCGCTGAGCCCCTCTCACCTCAATCCACTCATTCCCACTAAGCTCTTTCCCAGCTCCTCCTTCTGCCCTCAAATCCTCAGCCACACCTTCCAACTCTCCAGAGCCTGTGTTTCTTTTTAGTTCAATTAGCATAAGACAATAGTATTATATATAATTTAATTACCTTCCATTCCTCTAGTCCCGAAATATTCTCAAACCCCCACTAGAATTTGGGTGGAAGAGGGGCGCCTGGGTGGTGCAGTCAGTTGGGCAACTGGCTCTTAGTTTAGGCTCCAATAGTGATCTCGTGGTTGTGATCTCCGAGGTCACCAGATCGAGCCCCCATCTGAGTCTGCTTGAAATTCTTTCTCTCCCTCTGCTGCTTGTGCTCTCTCTCTCTCTCTCTCTCTGAAATGAGTAAGTAAATCTTTAAAGAAAAAAAAAACTTGCTTTTCCTTTAAAAAAAAATCCCCCACCTTTTTTTTTAAGATTTTATTTATTCATATGAGAGAGAGAATGAGATAGAGAGAGCATATGAGGGGGAGAGGGAGAGGGAGCAGCAGACTCCCCGCCGAGCAGGGAGCCCGACGCAGGACTCAACCCCAGGACTCCAGGATCATGACCCAAGCCGAAGGCAGCCGCCCAACCAACTGAGCCACCCAGGCGCCCCAAAAATCCCCCACTTTTGATGAGATTCTCAGCTTAACTGAGAGGTACGATCAAAATGTAAGGCATCAGTGCTACTCTCAGCTCCTGCTCTGCAGTTCTCACAGCTTTTTGTGAAATTCTCTTGATCCTTTGTGCGGTATTCACAGGTCATGATGGTTTTTGGCTTAA